TTGATACCATAGAATGCTGAATAAAGATTAATCCAATCAAGATAATCAAACATTTCAAGCCAAAGTTCATTAGCTAGATCTTCAATACATGATGGATTTCGATTCGACATTTGTTTTGCTTTATTCACTTCACCAATGAATGGATTTTTCTTCTATTACACTCACCCTGTTGGAATTAAAGAAACTCTAAATGTTGTCAACTGCAGTCTGCAATCACTTTTGAAATAATATTTGCAATGGCAACACATGTGTATGCATGGAGAAAAGCAGAAAAAAATGAAACATTTGCGTCACTTGTTTTGAGCGAGAGTCAAAACTCATCCTGGGTGTGGGTGTGGGTATTATACTGTTTAACTATCCACACCCACATCCTAGCTTTTATTGATCATAATAAAATAATTTGCAAGAATAGAAGAGCAAAGATATGTTTTATTCTGGATTAAATATTAAATTATATAATAAGTCAAAGAAAAAAGATAGGAAGAAAAAACTCACGGAGGCCACAAGATGGCAGTTTTTCTAGCTAAAATGTTTTTCTGGAATTTGAAATACTTGGAAGAAACTGAATAAGTTCAGCGAAAGTTAATTTATTTGAAATACTTGATACAATTCTGCGCTATTTAAATGATTATAACCATCGCCAACTCCAGCAGTAACTAATATTTTTCCGGTTGATAATATAGATGCTGTGTGACAATATCGTGCAATATTCATGGTACTAGTAGTTGTCCAAGTATTTGTTGATGGATCATACAATTCTGCACTATTTAAAAAACCACTATTACCATATCCACCAGTAACTAATACTTTTCCATTTGATAGTACAGATGCTGTGTGAGAATATCGTGCATCATTCATATTACTCGTAGTTGTCCAGGTACCTGTTAATGGATCATACAATTCAGCACTATTTAAACTATAAGAACCACTTGAACCAGTTCCACCAGCGATTAATACTTTTCCATTTGATAATACAGATGCTGTATGACAAATGCGTGCATTATTCATGTTATTCGTAGTTGTCCAAGTACCTGTCGACGGATCATACAGCTCAGCATTATCAAAAGCAATATTACCATTCCACCCACTAGTAACTAACACTTTTCCATTTGATAATACAGATACTGTGTTACCATATCGTCTATTAATCATATTACTTGTAGTTGTCCAAATACCTGTTGATGAATCATACAATTCAGCACTATTTAAAGCACCAATATCGCCTAATCCACCAATAACTAATATTTTTCCATTAGATAATACACATGCTGTGTGAGTAGTTCGCGCATTATTCATGTTACCAGTAGTTGCCCATGTGCCTGTTAATGGATCATACAGCTCAGCACTATTTAAATAAACACTATTACCGTGTCCACCAGTAACTAATACTTTTCCATTTGATAGTGCAGATGCTGTGTGAGAATCTCGTGCATTATTCATATTACTCGTAGTTGTCCAGATACCTGTTAATGGATCATACAATTCAGCACCATTTAAACGACCATTATTATTATATCCACCAGTAACTAATACTTTTCCATTTGATAATACAGATTCTGTGTGAGAATATCGTGCATTAGTCATATTGCCAGTAAAAATCCATCCTGAAACTATACATTTTTACATGTTTAGAATATACAGGATTAAATCATCAAACACTCAACGCTCATCACTCTTGTGTAATGTGTTTTTCAGTATTTTAAAAGCAGCAATATTTGATACATTTATTTTATATGATGTCAAATTTTTTTGCAAATTAAAGATTTTAACCAATTGCATTACACAACATATTCTCACATATTATTATTATTTCTTCAGTTTTCTATATTCTCTACTTCATCTTTCTCCCGAATCAAATACATGAAAGACGTTTATCTCGAATTAATCACTACGCTAATTGTACTGACTTGTGTTTTTTGACTTTCAACAAATTTTACAAGCTCTGATTGAAAGATATTCTACAGAATGAAATACTCTGACCTTTTCATTGACTCTTTCATAATTCTATGAATATATTTTAGTTCTGATATTCAATGGGTATCACAATTAAAATAGTGAAGTATTTATAACATTTCCTTTTACAATGATAAATGTATAAAGATGAAAAGGTCTATGTAGCCTTTGTCATTGAAAATAATATGAGACATGAAGTAATGAGATGGTGAGCGATTATTCTTTAAGTTTTTGATAGTTTACTATCAAATCATTGTTGATTCTTCATTAATTTATACAAATTCTGTTATTTCGCTTTTTCCGACTTTATTTTGAAGGATGTTTTATATTTAGTGAAATACTCTACTTAAATTTATTAGCACAAAAATCAGTTTTCATCAATTTCCTATTTACAGCTTCTTACGTAATGAACATTATCAAAGAAAAAACTAATCTTCACAAAGTATTCCAAATGTTATATGAAAGATTGATTTAAAGGTGAGAATAGTGTTTAATGTCTGATTTGTAGTTCATCTAATTATCTCATCAATCAAGACGGCATAGATGAAACAACTGCTGATCACAAGACTTTAATCTTAGCTTCTTTATCAAAACTGATTCGTGTTCGCATATACTCTGTTCCTGAATTTTTTCTCAGATGATTGACCTATTTTATACTAATAAGGAAACATCCAGAAGTGATAGCTTGAGTTGAAGGCTGATATTGCATTGCATGGGTTTGCTACACTAAGTGCTCTGATGTCAAATATGAAACCAATTATCTACTGAGGTCGAACCAATGATATAGTACTCAAAATATTTTGTTAATACTTCGTGTATATAGCGTGTTTTTTAGTCTCGAAGTTCAATGGAATAAATTTTTACGTTGAAAAATATTTAATCTTATCTATAAGTATCTATATCGTCTTTAAGTACTCGCTTGACTTGTCTAGAGACTAAAAGGCCACTCTATATACATGAAATAATGGTAGAATATTTTGAATACAATTTTCATTGGCTTCGCATCAACAGATAATTGTTTCATATTCGACATCAGCACAGTTAATGTAGAAAATCCATATAATATCAACCTTTAACTCGAGTCGTCACTTCGGGATGTTCTTTTGTAAGATCTTTTCAAAATAATGTTGCATGACTAATGTCTTATGAAGTAAGCACCATATTGTTCTGTTCTCGAAAAAAATAGTTCGATCATCGTAAAGTAAAGACTCGCATTTTGAATGGCTCATTTTCTTTATATGAAGTGAACCAAGTTTCTTTGATAAACATGTTTAGCTCACTTTCTATGACTCAAAATAAAGAAATCTTTTTTAAGCTTTCGTAAATTTCCTACGAAGTTTAAAAGAGAGCTCGAAACTCATTGTAAACTTATCAGCACTTTTTACGTTTCGAATCATGTGCGAAATTCCACTTTGTATACGTATTTGAATGGATGGCACTCTTCGATCAAAGAAAATTTTTTAAGAATCTGCACACCCCTTAATTCTAAGCCCTTCGCACGAACACTACTTCTGTCCCTCTATATTTAAAAAGGTTCGAAAAAACAATACAACGGTTCAATGTGGTACCTGTAGCGGATATCGTTGTCGGTACTAATGTTGTTTTGCTACAAGATAAAAAATGAAGCAGAGCTTTTAACTCTCCGATTCTCAATAAAGATTAAAAACAGTTTTTCTAATGTGTATTTTAAGGGGAGAGTTTTTTTCAGTCATGTTTTTTATTAATTAGTTTTGGCTGCGTAAAAAGTGTTGGAGTCGAACAAAAGTGCTGTGTGATGGTTTTCGGTAGGCAAACAAGATGTCAAAAAAGAGAAAATGTTATTCTCAGTTGCTCTAACTTTATGGTTTTTTTGATTTTTAAAATGATTTTTTTCTTTACTGCACTAAGTTCTTCTAACATTCGATAAAAATACTGAAATAACACTTTGTTTCTACAAACCTGTATTTGAGTTGTTTTTATTCGATCTACTGAAAACAATACCAAATGTAATCGCTAGAGCTACGATTACTATTATTACACATATCAACAATATAATAATACAACATCGGAAACTTCTGTATTTTTTATCTATAAAAGTTGCTCTATAAGAGAAAGTTTATTAGTGGAGGCGTATTCAACTTCTAGCAAACAAATTCCTACTTTGGTGTTGCTTCTACGGCTGCCAATCCTAATTTTAAATTGTTATTTTGTGCGACAGGCTTGAGTTCTGACGGTTCGACGTTGGCACTAATAGACTGTAATTTTATCGGCTAAATTAAAGAAAGACTCTGTAATGTTTCAATTTCAAGACAAGCATTAGAACGCACAGTTCCTGTAATTGATCTTTCAGAAGGTGAAACAATGTGCGCTTTTCTCTTTCAAACTTATCTTTCAGGAATAAAATAATCTTTTGTTCTACAGTTCGATGCTTTTTTAGAAACACTTTACTTGCTACATATCTCCGTGGGCCTTCTTCTGTGGATCTACAGATATATACCTCAGAGCAGTGTCCCATTTTGTTGAAGAAATTTATCAAAAATAAGAACAGATAAATGCTTTTTTAACGAGTAATCAAGAAACGACAAAATGGAATTTCTTGTCGTAATTAGATGAAAAACTAAATAGAATGAAAGTTTGCTAAGCGTTCTTTCAACAGTTCTACTGCATAAAAATTAATGTTAACTATTGTCAGCGCCAGAATTAAGTAGGCTGACAAGGGAACATATTTGAGTGTACCCACGGAGATGAAGTTTAAAAGTATTTTATCATGTAGTGACTATGTTGAATATCTCAAATATTGACATTTTAGCTGCCCGTTCTGAGGTCGAAAAAATAGCACTATTTCA